GATCTAAGAAAGCGGCAGCCCAGGCTTCAGAGTCAAACACTCAAGGAACATTCACATTCTATCTTGTCCGGAGTTTGATTTCTTTTGGGACCCATGCAGTTCTTCCAAGGACTCACAGACAATAGGGAAAATACCTCATGCACACACCACTGGGTAGAAAGATGTAAGTGTTAATTATCTTGTCATTTGGGGCTGCTTTTATACGCCTCTGTATAGTTACTTGAATCTTATGTATCATTTCTTTAAGATTTTTTATAGACCACTGAGCATCTAAAAGAAAAAAAATGAGGGGGGTGGTATAGCAAAAGACAGAATAGAATTCTTCTTTTAAAGTAAAATAAATGTCCATGGAAAGTTTCTTGACAGACAAATTACTGCCAATTAGAAAAGAAACATTAAATTCTAAATCAATGAAACTTAGTGGCTCCACAATATATCAGAAAAAAACTGCAGTGGCAATATAGTTATGGGAGGCACTGCCATGCCTTACACATGTTATAGCTTCGAGCTAATCCTGCCTGAAAGGCTGTGACAAATATTGAACAGTTTTTCAGATAAGATACTGGCTCTCTGCAACCCCATCTGCAAGGTTAACAATTATGTTTCCACCTTTTCATTAAATGATCTTCCCACCTCTTAGTCTTAACTGAAAGCTGTCTCTCTGCTAAGGATGCCAATTCAACTATCATTCTCTCAAGTAGAAGCTGCTCATTCTTCCATACAAAATGTAATTCAGAATTGGGCTACACGATGGGCATTTTCCTTCCTCATCAGTGCTTCTCCCAGACCATCACTCCCTCTCCTCAAGGCCCATATATTCAGCTTTATCACCCTCTGTCTCTCTCTTTTTGTTCTATCAAAAATGTAGTCCTGCAGTCATTTCCAATCATTCATCAGACTTTGTTGTTGAACCAAGGACATTTGCTGGTTGCCTAATCCAAAGTCCTTTTCTTCCTTTTCATCATACCAGAATGAAGTTCTATGCTTTCATCCAAACTCAGAAGAATGATTTCAAACTCAACATCAAAAATCAATCTTGATTGGTCTAGCTAATCATTAGGTTTTTATTCTCCTGGTAAATAATTGGTTAAGACAAAGGGATGTAAAACAATTTTGGCCAGCTAGATGCATAGAATCTGGTAAATGGATTCTTGAAACAATTCTGTGGCTGCTGGATATTATTATGTCTGGATGTAATGCCTGGAATTGTACTTATTTCTGAATGATGAAATTATGGTGATTTTTATCCCCCCCCAAATTTTCCACAAAGAGCAGGTATGATTTCTATAAAAATCAAATTTAAAAAACTTGAAAAGATGTTCATTTATTGTTACAGGTCACCATAGAATAATATAGGACTCATTTTCCCACTGCAAAAACAACTGGAAAACTGGAGGCAGCGTCTGGAAGAATGGCTTTAGATACTAGACAACAGTCAATGCAGGACTGGGATGCTGGAAAGAGGGAAAACAAACGAGGCGAGCACAGCAGTTTCCAGGCTAAGATGCAGAGGTGGCAAAGGGAGGGAACCCAAATAAAACACTCTCTTACTTTCGACTAGGCTTCCTAACTCATAAGCAGTCTGAGTTGAAAGTCAGAGACTGCGGTCCGGCATGCCAAGGCAACTAGGCTTTGCACTACCAGAGAGGAGTCAGGAAAACTAGAGAAGTGTACTGCTGAATATGTGGCAGAGTACTCATCTGTGTGAGCATGGGAAGAAACTACTCATGGCTGGGGAAAGACCCTCCAGAAATGAACAGGCAGAGCAATTTGTGGAGCTCTTACAGAGCTGAGAATACTTCGTGTTACCACCAAGCCAGAGCTGAAAGATCTCAAGATACCTGGGCATGGTGCACTGTTCTTCAAATGGCATTGCTTTAGATTGGGGTTTATAAAAGACCTAACAAAAGGCTGCTCTGAATCCACTATAAACTTAAAAGCAAGTCTTGAAAGGATCCAATTTGAAGTAATGTAAATGCAGGTCAGAATAAAATTTAATACTATTTAAACTAATACAACAGACTACAGCACCAACAACATCAAATTTAAATTGCCAGGCATCAGGGCTTCTCCCTGAGGCCTCTCCACAGGAGCTGGTTTGAGCCCTTCCCAGCACAGAGGCCTCCCGGCACTAAACTTCTCATGTAGCAACTAACCGGGACAGAGGCTGCATTGCCTTTTATGACCTATCAACAGAAGTCACAAAGCCACTTCTGCCACATTCTGTTGGACACAATCAAGTCACAAGCTTTACCAGATTCAAAGGAAGGGGAATTAGATGTTATTTCTTTTATTTTTTCATTAAATTTTTATTATATTTTTTCCATTATCTTTTACCCCCTTCCCCAGCAACCACCACACTGTTGTCCATGTCCATGAGTCCATTTTCCTTTTTACTCAATTTCTCTGTCCCCTAACCTTTGTCTCTCCACACCACATCCCCAACACTAAGATGTCATTTCTTAATGAGCTAATGACAAGGGTAGATAAAAACATGTGGGAATGGACATGCTGTTGTTCATGTCTCTGAACAATGTAATCACACTGTATATCTGTGGTACGGATCTTCTGGTGACAAATTTTTTGAACTTTGTTTAGTTGCAAATGTATTTTATTTTCATTTTTGAAGGCCATTTTTCCAACAAGTTTCAGATCGCTAGGCTTTTTTGTTCTTTCAGTACTTTATAGATGCTCTAGTGCCTTGTGGTTTGCACTGTTTCTGATAAGTAGCAAGCAGTAACTCTTATCATTCATTGCTCTCCAGTACGTAATGTATCTTTTCTGTTTTGGTTGCTCTTAAGATTTCTCTTTCTTTTTAGTTAGAAATATGACCACAATGTACCTGGGTGTGACTTTTTTCCTGCTAAAGATTTGTTGAGCTTTTGGAGTCAGTAGACTAATACTTTTTACTAAACCTAAAAAAATTCAGCTACAGTCATGCATTATGCCTATCTTTTCTTTTAAATTATTACATATATTTTTATTCAGATTCTTAAAGGAATCTATTCCTAAAAGAAGCTATTTTCAACATTTGTGTTCTCAGTGGGTCTGTTTCTATTGCCGTTTTTTTAGCCTGTTATGGATCATATTTTCCTGCTTCTTTACATGTCAAATTGTAGCTTTTTACTGTGAAATTGGGGCTGCTATGTGGTTGAGAGTCTGAATTTTTGTGTGTTTGTTCATCTTCAAGGACTACTGAGTTTTGTTCTGGCAAGCAGTTATTTTATTGGCAGATCACCTCTATCTTGTTGAGTCATGTAATTAGGCTTTGTTACAGTGAATCATGGGTAGCTCTTATTCTAGAGCTTAAGGAGCACTCTTAAAATCTAACATTCTGAGGTCTCACTGAATGCACAAGATCCTTCACTGGTCTCTCCACTCTGATGGGTCAGAATTCCAGGGTCTCTAGGCACTCTCTAACCTCTGGCATTCCTATTCGGCTCCCAGATCCTCTGTGGCCGTTCTGTGCCAAACCTCACAAAGTTTCACCTTGCACATAGCAACTCAGTTTCTGACCACAGACTCACGGCTCTCTAATACAGATTTCTGGAGCCAGTTCTCTAAACAAATTCCCTGTTCTCTAGTTTCTTGCCCAGGTCCCAGCTGCCTCACCAACCCCATCTGCCAATCTCTGTTTATCTGTGTAAAACACTGCTTTCTATCTGGGACCTACTTTCCTGTGTGGCTCTTTGGATAGTGCCTCTGAACAAAAAATAAGAGTCAATGACAAGCTTATTTTGTGCATGTCCCCTCTCTAAAGGATCACGACTTTGTGCAGTTGCTGTCCAATGCATGAAAAGAGTTGCTTCATACATTTTATTCAGTTTTACAGTTGTTTATGGAATAAGGATGACTTTGATAACTGTTATTCTGTGATGGTTGGAACTGGAAGTCTTCATTAATGAATTAACTAATTAATTAAAAATAGCATAGCCAATAAATAAAATCTTAATTTCCAGTCATCAATATCAACAAAGGGAAACCAATAAGCAGTAAAAATAAAAAGACAGGGCAGAAGTATTAGTAGACTCATGGAATTTTCCACTATTTTAATTTTCTTAGAATCAGGAAAATTGTTTCAAGTCACATCATTTAGGCTTCTTTTTGTTTTTTGCTGACCGCACCGTGACCACCACTGCACCCATCCTCCCCGCTTCCTCCTGCCCTTGGCCAGACTCTGTTCAACACCGAGTGAATGATTCATGATGAGTCAGCTGAGCCAACAAGGACACCCCACTTTCCCCTCAACAAACACTCAATCTCTGTCACCTTCAGTGTGGCAGGCGACCCTACAACTGTATTCTGACCAATGAGACACACAGGTAAGTTTGTTAGCGGTCTCCTAAAAAGGTGTGTATTTTCTTAGTAAAAGGAATAGGTGAGACTGGCCTCTTTCTCCGGTCTCTTCTCACTCTAATTCAAATGAGGAAGGAAAGTCCACATGCTAAGTATGGGAGAGGATAGGGAACCAAAGAGCCTGGTCCTTGGTGACATCAATGAGCAACCAAATCAATTCAGAAACTCACACCTCTGAGGAAAAAAAAACCCTTATTTGTTTAAACCCCACTGTCTAAGGTTTTCTGTTTCTACCTACACTAGAAAGCATTTTTGACTGATAAATAAAACATTTGTCCTTTAGACTAATGGGTTTGCAAATAACCTGTAAAAATAGCTTTAAAATAAAATATAAAAAGAAAATGGTTGGGAACTACACTCTTGAAGTCTTTGAACTAATCAGGTTTTCTTCAGTGTCGCTCTAGATCGAAAAATGCCTCGTGGCCAGGGGCGTTCTGTGTTCTACGTGTGAGCCTAAGCAGTTCTGAGTGCTTAAATGAGCTTGCTGATAGACTATTTCTAGGCAACCTTTCAGTTATTTCTGTCATCTAGCTATTCTTTGACCTCATCAGAAACAAAGACCTCATAGATTAAGAACATTTTTTGTCCACAGAAGTGGATATGCAGGCAAAACAAACAAGCAAAGGGATGGTTTGCTGCCTTACGTTCACACTCTCTGACATCCAGGTTGAACTGCTGTAATGCTCCCAAGGTGAGCTGCCTTACTTCAGCCTCCAGCAGAAGTTGCATCAGGGACGTGGCTAAATGCTTGCAAGCTGACATGCACGCTGTCTGAGCCACCTTTCCCTGAAACACAAGAATGTAAACCACCATGTTAGTGGGTTGAAATGAGATTCCAACAAAATTATTTTTAAAATTATGAATGTCTTTAAGGTTTTCATCATAATACCCTTAAATTCAAATCATATGGGAATTCATAGCGCCTGATGGCGATCACCTTAAACACTAGCCTCACCATCATCAGTCATGTAGCTGTAACACTAAGCTACAATTCATAAAGCCCAGCTACTTATTCAGGAAGCACTTTTTTCCTAGATCAACAGATAAACAATATTCAAAATCTTAAACCAAGAAGAAATTTCTTCATACAGAATAAATTTCAAACAGTCCTTTAAAAACAATCTTAATTCTTAAAAAACACAAATGTAAGCAATATTCCCTAACTTATCTAAGAAATCAAAGTCTTTACTGCTTAATGATTTAACACATATAAAGTGAAAAGAATGAAAAGGTTTTCCCGAAAAAAATTAAAAGGATGAATTTAGTTTTTTAAATAAACACTGAAGTTTATGAACATAAATTCTAAGCTAATTTTAAATTATGATATTGAAAGCTTACTATCTTCTTTAAAGTATTCGAACACTTTATAATTACTAAATTACATCGTAGCCCCAGTTCCAAGTCACACATCGTAGACTGTCCTTAAAGCATCCAGTCACGTACAGTGAGAAATGGAGACATGTACTAAAGAAGATACAAGAAACATTGCACACAGGACAATGAGTCCTCAGTCCCCTTCAAAGTAGACATGTTGGTACCTCACACAGTTCTCCCAATCACCATCCACTGGCCCATCATATTTTCCTGAATCTCACTGACAGTCTGAAATCTCTTCCTTTTCAAAGGTGATTTTAGTTTTGGGAAAAGCCAGAAGTCACAGGACAGCAAATCTGGGCTGGATTGGGGCAGAGTCACCTGGGTGATTTGATGTTTCATAAAAAAAACTCTGTACAAGACATGATATATGAGTGGACACACTGTCATGATGAAGCTGCCAGTTACCACTTGCCTGTAGCTGCAGCCTTCTGAATCATCCCAATTGTTTCCATGGAGGAATGTTCAAGATTAATGCAAAGTTTAATGCAGATTTTTTTACTCTACTGAGTTATTTTGAATGTGATGGCTACATAGTACACATGCGTAGTCAGCGGCATCTACCACCCCCACTGACTACTAGAGTGAGGTCATCATTGTTCACGCATGTGCTTTCCAGTGCACTCTCCTTGGCTGCCAGGTGACGTTGATGTTGCACAAATGTTCTCATTATTTTAACAGTGGCTGGACTTTTTCGGGATGGACTTTTTTGGGACAGACTTCGTATATCCATTTTCTTCAGATATACATGTATATCCCATGTATTTCTCTTATTTACCATCACTATCTATTCTGTAAAACAGGGTGACATGAGTCCTAAAGAGTCTGAGTTCTCAAATTACTCAGTGGACCCTTCTTTTCTGAAACTATGAAATACTTCAGCCATATGGAAAATTACATGATGAACACTCATGTATCCACTAAACACTGCAAACATAATTTAACCCTCATGTGACCTCTTTAATCATTTTCCTGCCTCTCCCCACAGGTGATCATTATTGGTGTCAGGTATACTATTTGTATTTTTAAAATACTATTATGATAGGTGTGCATGTAGCAAGAAACAATATACCATATTATGTTTTGAAACTTTCCATAATCTCAAAGGCATTTGCTTTTGCAACTTGCTTTTTTGGTTCAGTATCATAATGTGAAACTTTTACAAAGTAATGTGTATGACTGAAGTTTATTTCTTTAATTATTCCACAGTATACCACAATGTATTTGTCCATTCTTCTGTTGGAGAAGTACCCAGTATTTTGCTGTGTATAATGTACACCTACATTTTTTTTGCGCATTATACACGGGATTATTATACCCATGGCATGTAATCATTATACTCACGCATAATGCACATCCTTATTTTTCCCTCAAATTTTGGGCAAAAAAAGTGCACACTGTATGTGGCAAACATGATAGATTATTTCTATTTCTAATTTATTTATATATTTTTGCTGTTAAAAATTCAATAGGTCATGGTGTAATATAGGTCTAGTAAAACTTCATGAAAATTCCAGAATCTCACTATGGTGTTTTTTAAAATTTTTTTTCCATATATTTCACTGGGTCAGGGAGTATTTGATTCTCTCCTACTAAAAGGGAAGTATCAGCGACTTCCACCAAGATGGAGGCGTAGGTGGAAGCACTGCACCTTATCGCACAACCAAGTTTAAAAACAACAAAGTTAAAAACGCAGCCAAACCACAGAAAATCGAACTACACAGAAGTCTGACAACAATGAACCCTTCAGCCAAACCGGTAAGAGGGACAGAGCCAGCAGCAGAGCTGGGTCAGGCAGGAAAGATTCACCAGACGGACCTGGGCACACAACCCAGGTGCGCCAGCAGCCGTGGGCGGATCCCAGGTGTGGAGAAGTGGGCAGACCCACTGAGGGCTGATCATGGTCACACATTCTTGCGCAGATAAACCAGTGAAGGAGCAAGCAGTGATACGGACCACGCAGGCCCCAATGGCAGGAAGTGGCAGAGGGATGCGACAGTGTCCCTCTCTGACCCTGCCCCCACATACAGCATCACAAAGCAGCAACCTGTGTGGCCCCGCCCTAGTGAACAACTAAGGCTCTGCTCCTCATACGTAACAGGCACAAACAGACCAAAACATGGCTCAAGAACAACTCAGAGCCCCAGAGCCCATAAATCTAAGCAATGAAGAAATACCCAAACTTTCAAATGCACAGTTCAAAACACTGGTGATCAGGATGCTCACAGAACTGGTTCATTTTAGTCACAAATTAGAGGAACATATGAAGGCTAAGCTAATTAAAATGAAGGGAAATGCACAGGAAACCAATAGTAATGGAAAGGAAACTGGGACTCAAATCAATGGAGTGGACCAGAAGGAGGAAAAAAATGACCAAACAGAAAAGGATGAAGAAACAAGAATTCAAAAAAATGAGGAGAGGCTTAGGAACCTTCAGGACATCTTTAAATGTTCCAACATCTGAATTATAGGGGTACCAGAAGGGGAAGAGGAACAGCCACGAGTGGAAACCTTATTTGAACAAATAATAAGGGAGAACTTCTGGCAAAGGAAATAGACTTCCAGGAAATCCAGGAAGCTCAGAGAGTCCCAAAGAAGTTGGGGACAAGGAGGAACGCACCAAGGCACATCTTTATTACATTAGCCAAGATTAAAATGAAGGAGAGAATCCTAGAAGCAGCAAGACAGAAGGGGACAGTCACCTACAAAGGAGTTCCCATCAGACTGTCAGCAAATTTCTCAAAAGAGACCTACAGGCAAGAAGGGGCTGGAAAGAAGTATTCCAAGTCATGAAAGGCAAGGACCTATATCCAAGATTGCTCTATCCAGCAAAGCTTTCATTTAGAATGGAAGAAGAGATAAAGTGCTTCTCACATAAGATCAAATTCAAGGAGTTGATCATCACCAAGCCCTTATTATATGAAATGTTAAAGGGACTTACCTAAGAAAAAGAAGATAAAAAAGATGAACAGTGAAAGGACAGCAAACTCACAGTTATTAACAACCACACCTAAAACAAAAGCAAACTAAGAGGACAGCTAGATTGGGAACAGAACCATAGAAATGAAGATCATATGGAGGGTTAGCAACAGGGGAGTGGGAGAAGGAGAAGGGGGGAGAAGATACAGAAAATAAGTAGCATAGATGGTAGGTAGAAAATAGATAGGGGGACGGCAAGAATAGTATGGGAAATATAGAATCTAAAGAACTTGAGACACATGGTCATAAACTAAAGGGGGGAATGGTGGGGGAGGGGTGTGCAGGGCAGAGGGGAATGAAGGGGGGAAATAGAACAACTGTAATGGCATAATTAATAACATATATTTAAAAAATAATAATAAAAGGGAAGTATCATCCATTGTTTCTTATACAAAGAAAAAAACACAATTCAGGCCAATGTGTAGAAATTTTACAAACTCCTTCAAAGAAATATAAAAAGCGCAATATTTATTACTTTCAAGTACTACGTAGTTCAATTACAAAACCAAGTGCTATTCTTATACTAAATGCTAATGAGTTGACATGAAAGTGTCTTCACCGTCAGTACCATGACTCTCTACCACCATCACCAGAGAGGCTGCTTCCGTTTACTAAGCGCTGAGTATGTGCCCAATGTTTTGAAAATATTTTCCCATATAATCCTCACAAGAATTCCACGAGGTATTTAATCCTTGATTTGCAGTTAAGGACAGGGAAAGAAAGGTTAAGCTACTTGAATACACCTTGTAAGTGGTGGAGCTAAGATGTGAACTCAGACCTGTCAGAGACACTTCACAACTGTTTGATCCTGACTCCCAGTAGAGGGTTGAGTGGTAGTTTCTACATCTCTCTGTTGCTCTGCGACTCAGGTAAGGGAATGGAGAGGACAAGGAGATAAAAAAAATCACACAAATCTGAAAGACCAGGATACTGAGAGGTTTTTTCTTCCTCCCTCATCTAAAGAAGCATCAAATGAATGCTAAGTTCACTGTAGGTATTTATAACGGCCTCCCCTCCCACCACAGCTCTCCTCAACCTACTGGGATCAGATCCTGAGTCTTAGATCATCAAGGATTTTATCTAAATTAGTTTAAATGCCCAAAGCCAAATTTCTCTTTCTCTGGATAGTCTAGCAAGTCTCAAGAAACATGGAAAGAGAGCCAGGAACTATTCTGTGAAAGAGAACAATCCTTCCATACCAGCTTTCTCTTCTGTTTTTGCTTCCTGAGTAATACTCCTCTGTTCACATTTTGGTGTGTTAAATTTACCCTTCTCTGGTGGGGTAGTCTGAAGACATAAGGGCCAGAGTGCTGGTGGTGTGGATTTCAGTCTGAGCCTGAAAGCCTGAGAAGCAGGAGCACAAGGGCAGGACACTCCTTGTGATACTGTCCCACATATAACTGATGCTCTGTCAAATTTTCTCCCTTCTGTTT